CAAGGTTTTTACCTTTGGTTCTTGTTGCGACATAAACAACGGGTCAAGGTCCTATCATAAACCTGATTTAGCTTTCCTGGAGTTTACAAATCCCTTGTTGTGCTGTGGGTCTCATTGTTCTCTTTGGGGTTCTCATCAGAAAGGGTCCCACAAATGCACAAGACTCAAAACTTATCATACTACAATCTGATACCACCAAAAATCTGAAGATAAAATTTTAAAATTTACTCTGATATCATAAAATCTCTAAATAAAGTTTAGCTTACAAGATCATGATTTATATTGAAAATCTATGTTCAATTTACAAGATGGCTAGCTTTCTAACTCGTCACTCCCCTTGTTTTTCCCCGTCCTTGACTTCGTTTCCTGAAATGGTGAACAAGGAAAAACTATGAGATAAATCAGTAAATAAATATGGATAGCCCTTAATTAAACTTATAGCATGCCAACCCGTATAATCACGAAAAATAAGTATGAGTACGGAACGAAATAAACGTCTCCTCTATAGGTCATGGCCAGCATTTATAAACCTTCCACTGGCGGGCACACGATTTACTAGTGTATAATCCCACTACCAAAATCATAGAAATACCAATGTTTAACAACTCCCATTAGCAGAAGGAACTGGCTCTACAGAAATACATGTCGACATGTGCTAGCGTTTATAAACCTCTCACTAGCGGGCACACAAATAACATGATCATATTGGAGACAAAACAGGTAGAATTTAACAGAAAATCATATTTTACAAATAATTTCCAAATCATCAAGGCAGTTAAGTAAATTCCAAGAAGGCATGCTCAAATCAATAAAAAGAATAATAATTTCATTTCAAATCGATCATACTTGTGTAGAACGGGTTTAGTCCCGCCACTACTTCAAAAACAAGCTAAAATGTGCTTTAAAATCGGAGGGTATTACCATAATTTACTTACCTCACTTGCATAAAACCGAAGACTCAATCCAAGTGCTCTAAGCCATAACAACAACTAATATTCCAAATAAATGCATTCAGACCTTACTAGAATTATTAGCACAACCTCACAAATTTACTAACCAATGAGTTTCACACGAAATTCAACCATAATATAACTCACTTTTATTCAAAACCGTATCTACCCAAAGTCCAAATATTTTTAAATAAAATCATAATATCCAAAAATCTCTTAAACAAGAGGTTTTAAAGCCAAATTTCACCAATTTGGTTTCCCAATCCCACGGCAAAAGGGAAGAGCACGGCTTTGGCAAAAACAGGGGCTAAAACACTCTGGATTTTCCTCCAAAATCACAGCAGCCAACTCAAGCAATTTATATATGAATTAAGCTTAATTATGCTCTAGTTACTACCGAAATTCATCCCCATTTTCTAGCAGATTTTCGGACAGTGCAAGGGCAGCCACTACATGGATAAATTCAACAAAACAACAGCTAAATGGACTAAAAATTCAAGCTTGTTGTAGCTGTTACATACTAGAATTCTTCCTGCTGCAGAACCGGACCTGGCGGGGGGAAGAAGCCAGCGGCAATTTTGCACGCGACTCACGGAATTAACCCAAAATTGAAGGAACAAGAGGAACTTAGAGTAACCCAAGGCAAATCAAAGCTAAAAAGATAAAATTCATGGCTGATTTTTACCTGGAAAAATCGAAATTCACACCCAGCAGCAACCGGCGGCAGAGGAGGAAGAAGACAGTAGATTTGAAATTTCTGGGTTGAGAGAGAGAGTTCTAAGTCCTAAAGCTTGTTATTGAGCAAGAAAAGAACAAAAATCATCAAGTTCTCTTATCGATTTTTCAAAGGGGAGGTGCTATCGGTGGCCTAGCCTTGTTCGGCTGCAGGGGAGAAAAAAGAAGAGCAGACACGCGGGTGAGGAAGAAGAAAGAAGGAAAAAAAATAGTTGATCCTTATCCAAATCTTTTTCTCTTTTAAGTCCCTCAAGTTTCAAAATTTTCACTATTAGGCCCCAAACAATATTTTCCCACACAAAAGTCCTTAACTTAAATGCTAGAATTCTCGAAAATTTGGGATATTACACCTTGTGGCAAAAATTGGAATGAAGTGCTACTTACTTTTGCAAGAAAAGCAAGAGAACGATTCACCGACGACCCTCTCCTTCCACTCAGTTTTTCCTTATGAAAAGATTGTTGAAAGAATGTTGCTTAAAATGCAATGTGCTTGAATAAGATGATTGTTAGAAATAGTTTACCTTGAAAGTACATCAAGGACTTGGGTTAAGATAAACGAGTATCAAGAAAAATTAAATTAAAGTATTAGTAATGCAATAAGTTAAGGACATGTGCTGAAAATTAACTAAATAAAGTGCAGAAAATATAATTAAACAAAAACTGAAATTGTAGGTAGAAAACGTAACTCTAGCAGAAATCTAGAAATTGTAGCATAAAACTAAAAGACTCTAAGTTTAACTAAAATTGTAGACATATTTGAATTAAAATCAAATTGAATGTTTAACAATTGAGAAAATTAGTAGAAGCAAACCACAATAATAATAATAATAAATCCTAAAAACTAATCTTACCAAAAAAATAATAAATCAACTAAGAACAAGAATCTATTGAGGATGATGATTTACTTTTATTAGTAATTGGATATTTATTAAGAATCTATTGAGGCGGATTTTTCTTAATAGATTTATTATTAGTAAATAATAAATCCAATTGGATATTTCTAGGACCCACTATTTAATTAATAAATTAAAATACTATTATTAGTAAAAAAGATTTTTAAAATACCTTCTTCTTCCTCACTCGCCCTTCCCCTGCTTTCTCTACCTTTTCCTTCTCTTTCCTCCTTCACATCTCTCTTTCCTTTGTCTTCCACCTCCTTTCTCTCACGATACCATCTACAATTCATGATGCAGTTCATATTAGAACACTTGATTGTAGGGCTTGTCTAATATAGTAGTTTTGGGGTAGCAATTAGTAGTTTTTCTCAAATTGCTAAGAATAGGTGTTTGATAAACATATATATTTCGAAACTGCTACAAACAAGGTGTTTGGTAAAAATTTTTATTTAGCGGTTTGGGATTAACGGATAGCAGTTAGAGTCCAAACCGCTAATAAATTGAAAACATTAGCTTAGGTAGTTTTTTGTACCAAACTACTTAATGGATTAGAATTTTTTAATTTTATTGACAAATTTTTTTTTTTAATTTGTTAATTTTATAAAAAATATTTTAAAAAATACAATTAATTATTTTTAAATATATCCTCATTCGTTATTTAATATTGAACAACAACTACTAACTATTATGTAATCAAACAATTATATCTATCGAATCCGCCATCTGCCATCTGTTACCCACTTTTCACCATTCGCTATCCACATTCCACTATCCACTAACCGCTACTTGCCACCTATTATTGCTGTTCACTACCTATTACTCATTATTTGTTATTTGCTGAATTTTAACCGTTATACCAAACAGGCTCTTAATTTAAGGTTTTACAATTTATAGTTGAGATATTTCCATCTTTTTGGTTTCATCCCATCCAACCAAAAATGTTCTTCATCTTTAACCTCACACAATGAGGAACACACACATGAGGTTTGAGAATCAAATTTAGAGATTTTGATTTCCTTCCTAGGATTTCAATTTCATACTTTCAGCTTCACTGATCTATTCTCATCTTGTGGTTCTCCATTGATAACCTAGATCTGTAGATTGAGAGGGTTTAACAATGTGCCAACAAAGTGCTGTAGTTGATGATGTTGGTAGTGATGGCAAGGTTTACAAGGAAGAGGCCTTTTGTTTTCTTTCAATTTCTCTTCTTCTTCTTCTTCTTTTCTTTTTTTAACAATTTTAAGTTTAGTTGGGTAGAAGATATGAAGATCGACAAATAATGATGCAACTACTTTCTTCTAAAAATTTACACAAACTACTAAAAAATCCCTTATAAATTCATAATCCTATTTTGGCAAACAAATAAATTTTAGGACCTAAAAAAGTTAAAGGACCAAAATAGGGCTTGTACAATAATTGAGGGACCAATAATGGAGTTTTAACCATTTTATTTATATTTGTACCCTATTTTATTAGGAAAGTTTCCTTAAGAAAAATCGGTACAAAAAATTAATAAGTTTTGTTAGAAGTTTGTTTAGTTATTTACTCTTTGTATTTAATAAGAAATTAATATAGGGTAAGTTAGTAAAAATGTTGTTAAGTGGGCCCCACATGCAGAAAGTTAGGGAAATTTTTTTCTTTTTCAATAATGTGGGAAGAAAAGTTTATTGGTTAGGAACTATGTAAGGAAAAGTAAAGTTTAAAATTTTCACTTTTGCCTTCTTTTTGTTGTAGTATTAAGGTATGCAAATACATAAAAAAATTTCCTATGAGAGGGGAAGTTTGGAGGGAAAGTTCCCCCCCAACCAAACACACCCTAGGAGAAAAGTAAAAATTAGGATTTCCTAATATTTTAAATATCTAAACTGTCTATGAAATTGTTTAGATACTTTTAATAAATCTTCCTTTATGTACGATTCTTTAATGGTCTATTTGAAAACATGAATTTAGTAAAGTGTACTCCAAATTCAAATTTACTATTTGTTTGCATAAATTTCATTGTAATTGAAATTGACATTAATATATGTATTTCATCTAATGTATTTTAAAATTTAAAATGCATGTATTTCAAATGCATTCCTTATCCCATCAATTGATTTAAGATACATTTCTTGCACTTTTCGATCAAGCTGTGCTTTGCTCCAATCAGAATCTCTTTTTTCCTCTCTCTCCCTCTTTCTCTTATATTTTATTTGATCAAAATCAAGCCAAGAAGAAAATTGGTGAGGGGTGGGAGTAAAGGAGTGGATTCTTCCAAACAAGAGCTAGACAAAGGATGTGCCTACTTTAGCAAAAACAATTTCACAACAACCTCACACCAAAGTTGAATAATTAGGGGCTGGATTGAGGTTGGAAAATATAATTTGCACATTGAGGCTTCCGAAAGGTTGAGATGGAGTC